TGGCCCGGGGGGGTTCAGGTGACCCGGGGGGGTCTCGGGGTGCGGCCTGACCTCGCTCTTGACCGGGGGCTCTGCGGGCCCGTTCTTCTTGCCGGGGGGCCCGGCGGGCAGCGCGGCGCCGGTGGCCAGCGCGGCGATGAGCTGGCCCTGCGCGTTCAGCAGCAGCTGCGGTGCCACCGCCGTCACCTGTGCCACCTGCAGGCTGGGCGCGGGCGGCGCCAGCACCCAGGGCAGGGTCCCGATCACCTGCGGGGACACAGCGCTGGGGCCGCGGCACCGGGGGGCGGCGGGACCCTCCCCGGGCCGGAACGCGCGGCGGGCGCGGCACCCCCGGTACCTGGCCCTGCACCCCGGTACCTGGCCCTGGGCACCCCCGCCCCCGGTACCTGGCCCTGCACTCCCGGTACCTGGCCCTGCACCCCCGGTACCTGGCCCTGGGCACCCCCGGTACCTGGCCCTGCACCCCCGGTACCTGGCCCTGGGCACCCCCGGTACCTGGCCCTGCACCCCCGGTACCTGGCCCCGGGCACCCCCGGTACCTGGCCCTGGGCACCCCCGGTACCAGGCCCTGGGCACCCCCGGTACCAGGCCCTGCACCCCCGGTACCTGGCCCTGCACCCCCGGTACCTGGCCCTGCACCCCCGGTACCTGGCCCCGGGCACCCCCGGTACCTGGCCCTGGGCACCCCCGCCCCCGGTACCTGGCCCCGGGCACCCCCGGTACCTGGCCCTGGGCACCCCCGCCCCCGGTACCTGGCCCTGGGCACCCCGGTACCTGGCCCGGGCACCCCCGGTACCTGGCCCCGGGCACCCCCGGTACCTGGCCCCGGGCACCCCGGTACCTGGCCCCGCACCCCGGTACCTGGCCCTGCACCCCCGGTACCTGGCCCTGCACCCCCGGTACCTGGCCCTGCACCCCCGGTACCTGGCCCCGGGCGCCGCTCGGGAGCCGGCCCGGGATGCCCGGGACGCTGGGGAGGCGGCGGCGATCCCGGGAGCTGCGGCTGCGCCCCCAGAGCCGCCGTGAGCTGCGGGACGGAACCGGGGCAGCGGGGGGAGCCCCTGGGAGCGTCCCCTCCCGGGCCCTGGGGCCTGGGGGTCCCGAAATCCCTAAATCCATACATCCATACATCCATACATCCATACATCCATACATCCATACATCCATACATCCATACATCCATAAATCCATACATCCATAAATCCCTACATCCATACATCCATAAATCCATACATCCATACATCCATAAATCCATAAATCCATAAATCCCTAAATACATAAATACATAAATCCATAAATCCCTACATCCATACATCCATACATCCATACATCCATAAATCCATAAATCCATACATCCATACATCCCTACATCCATACATCCATACATCCATACATCCATAAATCCATAAATCCCTAAATACATAAATCCATAAATTCCTACATCCATACATCCATACATCCATAAATCCATACATCCATAAATCCCTAAATCCCTAAATCCCTACATCCATACATCCATACATCCATACATCCATACATCCCTACATCCATACATCCATAAATCCCTAAATCCCTACATCCATACATCCATAAATCCATACATCCATACATCCATAAATCCCTAAATCCCTACATCCATACATCCCTAAATCCATACATCCATACATCCATA